CACTGTAGCAGTGCGCCACCGGGCCGGCCCCTAACCTCATTTTTTTTTTTTTTTTATTGCTTGACCATTTAGATTTCTAGTTCTTTGGTGTTGTCCTGCAGTTATCTATGTGCATATGGTATTTTCTGTCTTTCGGACTATTTTTTTAGGATTGATTGAAAGGGTCATGTGAACATTTTATGACTCTTGAAATATTGCCATGTTGTTTTTCAAAAGGCTATAATAATTTATATTACCACCCTTTCGGTGAGTTTAGCGACTGGCTTTGGGTAGTCCATAATTATCATTTTTCCTAATTTAATAGGTATAAAATATGTTGAGCTATTTTGTAACCTTTATAAGAATTTTGTTTATAACTAGTAAGGTGGTACCTTTTTCTGTAATTTCATTATCTTGTGCAAGTTGTCTATTCAAGTCTTCTGTCTAATTATGTATTAGAGTCTTGATATTTTATTTCTTAATTGAGTTTATTATAGATTGCTTAGTAATTTGCTGCCCCTAGTTTTTCATGTAGATTTCCCTTTTAATATTAGTTACTTTTGGTGGAGGGTTTTTGAATAGACACAGGAAGGGTATGATGAACGCAAAATATATTGTTGGAAAATTATTTGGAAACAATGTTTATTCATTGTTTGAAAAAGGAGGGAGACAAAGTGTTGAGGTGGTATCAACATGAGATGAAACTAGATTATGACCTGGAGAGGGAGAGTAATAGCTGAGCATGAGATGGGGGCGGGGGGATTGACTGCATTCAGTATCTAATTGATTGCAGAGGTAAAGAGGGATAAAACACACTCTCAAGACTTGAGGGGGGAACAAACAGTACTATTAACTAATTTGGAAAGTCAGGAGAGGCCACTGGTTGGTAAGGAATATGACGCTCATTTTAAACATGCAAGTAAAATTTGAAATGTCTGGTAAACATTTGTATGTATGTATGTATGTATGTATGTATGTATGTATGTATGTATGTATGTATGTATGTATGTATGTATGTATGTATGTATGTATGTATGTATGTATGTATGTATGTATGTATGTATGTATGTATGTATGTATGTATGTATGTATGTATGTATGTATGTATGTATGTATGTATGTATGTATGTATGTATGTATGTATGTATGTATGTATGTATGTATGTATGTATGTATGTATGTATGTATGTATGTATGTATGTATGTATGTATGTATGTATGTATGTATGTATGTATGTATGTATGTATGTATGTATGTATGTATGTATGTATGTATGTATGTATGTATGTATGTATGTATGTATGTATGTATGTATGTATGTATGTATGTATGTATGTTTTCATTCATTCATTCATTCATGAGATACAAAGCTAATTGTCACCCCTCGTGCCCAGATGGGAAGGCCAGGTTCATACTGGGGGCATACCCATTACCAGAAATTATTTTTGTACCCCATGTCCCCACCCAATTACCCCCAACCTCCCTCCCCCTCCCAACATCTATACTTTCTTTTGTCAAATTACCATGGGGTCAGTAATAGGGACCCCACTGATATGCTAGACCTTAAACATCTATATTTTGATTTCTATTAAATTAGACTTAAGTGGTTTTATCATGGCTGGCTTTCTTTTTTTTTTTTTTTCATCAAGGTTTTCTTATTTCTGGTTTTTAAAGTTCAACTTGAATTAAAAAGAAAAAGAGGATTAATAAATAAAATAAGTTCAGGAAGACCAGATCACTCTCAAACTAAATTAAGGAGAGGTTAGTTTTTCATTATAGAAAAAGTACAGCTTTACGGAAGTATATAAATACAAGTACGAGGGGTCTTCAAAAAGTTCATGGAAAGATTTGCATTATCTTTTAATGTCATTTTTCCACAAATTTTTTGAAGTGCCTTTGTATATGTATGTTTTAAGTGTTCAAACGTGGGGTGAAATATCTTCCCCCTTCATGTCTTCCCAAGTGGACTAATTTTTGTATGTTTTGTTTTAGTTTGATTTTAATAGGATACAGAGAGGTAACAGATGTATGTTTATGGAATGTGAATGTTTAGCCAAGATTCTTTAAATATCTGAAATCCAATAAAGATGCTAATTGTCTTATTTTTAGAAATCATTTATTTCAACAGAAAATAAGATGTATAAGGAAGTACTTTAATAATTAGAAATATCAAAACATGGAATAGGTTAACTTTTTCCTCAAGAGGAACAACTAATTTCACCAGTTAACATCTGGTTCTCCCCACCACTAACACATTTTCTTCCCTGCCTTTTATCCTAAGACTTTACAAAATGTTTTCTTTTCTGCTCTTTGCTGCTGCTTAGCAAGGGGAAGTTCTGATGTTGTTTTAGGAAAAAAACAGATCTTTTAAATGGTCTATTAGGAGCACCTAACTGATTTAAACGCTGTATAAATATTAGGGTTTTTTTTCCTTTTGCTTCCACTTTTTACTATGTTTCTACAAAACCTAACCCTTTTGGAGCCTTTCTTTTGAGGTAGTATGTGAGCTTATAAAATTTGAGCTACTTTGTTACATGCATCAAGACTGTCTTTGATCTCATTTAAATGATTAGGCATTTTAGAGTTTTTTAAAAAAGTTTTCCCATTATAATTCTAGGTTTGAGTTACAAAAATATAATCTGTTTATATGTTCAGGAAGTAAAGTAATTAATATATTCAGAAACAACATTTGTGCATTAGTTCTCAGCATTCTGAGTTTTTAATGAATATGTGGTTATGTGTATGTTTGTGGTGCTTCACTTTTGTTATTCCCTCGGCTTTGACACCTTTCATTAGGTTTTTCCTATGCCCCTATAAGAATGTTAGCTTTAAAAATTGTGCAGGGATAGCAAAGAAGATATTTTTAGCTTTAGAATATATAAGTGTGACCAGGGATTTTTGTGAGGGGCAGAGGAGGTTTAGGACAAGTTTCTTATCCTCTCTGCCTCATCTGTAAAATGGGGATAATAATAAAATAGACCCAACAAGGTTAGGATTAGTATTCCTTGAGTTAATATGTGTAAAGCATTTAGAATGATGTCAGGTATT